GTTAAATTGAGAGAATAAATGTGTGGACAAATATTTGATACTTATTTAGGTGTAAGAACTCTTGTTTAACCAACTTCCACCACTGCAAGTTGTTAAAATAATGAAATAAATATACTGGTATCATTGGATATTTGATTTAACTGTGAAACTTTCTAACAAAATGTTAACTGCCGACTTTGAACCGTCAATCAACAATTCCGCAGACACAGTATAAATTCCACAACACCACAGAAGATATTAGTCAGTCTGTTGCATTGACACTTCAACAAAACAAAACTTACCTTGACTTGGGTCTTTTTTATCTCTTGTCACAATCTGGAAACTGTTGAACAAATTGCGCGTCGTCCAGTTTAAGACTCAAGTTATTTTATTATTTATTCATTCAGTTTTGCATGGTGAGTTTTGCAACGTTCTTTGTTTATGGTTTGAGGGATTTCAGTTTATTTGATTTACGTTTTTACAGTAGCTCTGAGCGGGACTCAAACCCACCATCTTTTCAAGACAATTTTGTTTTATTTTGATGGCACGCTTGTGTACCAACCACGACGTTGGTCGTTAAGTGGTGTTCATTTTTCTAACTACTCCAGTGTTCCAATGAGTTGAACGGAAAATCCAAAACAATTCTCGTTTCTGATTGCTTCGGTTCAGGTGAGTGTGTATCTAGTGTAATTCGAACCCATGTCGTTTGTATTGGGCGTTTTTTTATTTCCCATGTTAGCTACGCCGTAATATGCAACCACTTCCCAGTTTTATTGTGATTTTGCGAGTGTTTAATGATGTCTTCCTCACCCGTCACGCCATGACCCAGTTTCATCCACACGGCCATTTTGCAACAAGTGCGTGACCCGACTGACTATATGATCGTTCTGTTCAACTGTTAAGCTAGGATATATTACCATTATCATTATATTGTCGCGTGATTTGTTTTACCTTATGTGTAATGTCTTATCGTAAAAGCTCAATCAATTCGGCCACTCAAATAGTTCGCCCACCAACTTTTTGCGTCATGGTTAATTTTAGAATGTATCAGTTTAGTTCGGCCATCTGTCCAGTCAGTCTATTGTTTGTATTCAATTAGTTCGCCCGGTGATGACACCGCCC